CCCTCCCCCCACGCGGAAAATGTTTTTTTATATATATATATTTTTTCAATTTTAGTTTTTCATCTTTCGGTTTATAGGTTCGAAATTTTACAAGTTCCAAAGTTATGAATTCGGAGGTTTATGTGATTGGAAGTTTATGTGTTTAGAAATTATAAAGCTTACGGGTTCGAAAGTTCGCGATTTTGAAAATTTAGCGGATCGAAAGTTTATGAAATTTGTGGGTTCGGAAGGTTGTTGATTTGAAAGTTTATGGCTTCATGTTTATTGTATCTAAATTATTTATGAATACTCTTGAGAAGTTATTTTCCTTAATTTGCATACCAAATACCAGAAAATGAATAAGATTAATACTTATTTTTCAAGAAAACATTTTCTTGAAAAATATTTTCCACGAAAAATATTTTCTATTATACCAATCACATCCTTAATTATTCGCCTTAAACCGAAATAAGTTAAAATCAGTTACATTGTTTGTATATCAGTAAGATTTATCTCAGTACAAAGTTACATAGTATAAATAGAGTAAAAGCATCTTATATTTTTTACTAACATATAAATTAGTAACAACACTAAAGAGTTTTAGAAAACATCTTATAAATTTTAAATATTAAATAATGTTTTTTTTTTTAAAAAAAAAAGGGAATTTGTAGATCCACTTCATAAATATGAACACAACACAAATAGTCAAACAGTGTCACATGGTCACGGCAAAACATATGGAGAAGTCTCACTTTATGGTTGCCACCCATTCATCACTTTTTTGGTGGTTCACCTCATGCTTACACCCCCACCCTATAGTATACCAGTACATGTGACAGTGTCACAAGTAGAAAAAAATTTATTTGCATCGGGTGTTTACACCAAGTATAGTTAAATAAACTATAGGAGATAAACTCGTCTTCTACGAATTTTACTTTTTAATAAATAATTTTTTTTATAAGAGACTATTTAATTATATAGTAACTAACATTACATACTTCTAGCCTTCTAGGGTTGCCGTCATTTTCTTTGGTTTGTTTCCCCGCAATCATCCTCTTTGCATTCTTGTTGCATCTTGTATCGTGTATTGAAATGACTCTAGAGATTCATAGTCCTCATCCTCGCCCTAACTTAATCTGAGTTCTAATCCTGTTTCTTTGTGAAATGCCTGGGCAAAATCTTGTCTTCTTCTACAATAATTATAGGAATAAATACAAGATTGCGAAAGCCATTAACTTGAAAGTTCTTAATCCTTAGAAATAGAGATATTTACTAACTATTATTACACATAAAACACTATTTGACCGGCCACTGTAAGGTCAGGATGATATTTATTTTATTTAGTTTACTTTAGCTAATTGTTTAAGTTCGATGGAAAGAAGAAATAAAAAAGAGATGATCAATTTAAGTTTCTATGCAAATAATTTTTATCGTTTACTATTTCAGAATTTCAAAAGCATTGTCCAATTATAGAACAAAGAAACACCATCGGAATAGCTAGCTAGATTATTAGGTATATTTAATTATTAATTAAATTATGTGCAAAACAAATGAAGGTTAACTATGATTAGGCACTAAAAGTTATAATTAGATTAAGTGACAAGTGTCATTTAGTTATTGAATTGGTGTAAACAACCGGTGCCGGTAAGTTTTTTCCACACAAGTACCATTCATTATCAATTAAAATTATTTAAAGCAGTGTCAAAATTTAAAGTTTATGAGTTCTAAATCTGCCTTGAACCCATAATACATATTATTGAATTTATAATTAAATATTTTGAATATATTCAATAGATTTTTTAATATAAATATAGGATCTAAGCAATTAAAGCTACGGAATTTAATCGAACCCATAAGTGTTATCCCACCTTAGCCCCTTGAAAGCAAAATCACTTGTGTTCGATACTTATATTACAACCCGATATTTCATTTGGAAAATAAAACGCTCCCTACTAAATATGATTTATATCAATAATTCTAACTCATAATCTCTAATTAAAAATAAAGTAATACTTACCATTCCAGCCCGAACCTCTATTGATAATACAACATCACATTTAAATCCACCGACTAATGGATAGGAATTAGGAATCCCCAAGTAGTTATTAGAACAAACAAAGATTACTTGGCAACTCATCAAAGAGTTCGAGTCAAGGGAAGCAATAATTTCCAGTTTTCTTGGATTATAATCATATAAGGAAACCAAAACAAATTCGTGATTTACACCCTATCAACCGACATTTCTGATTTCACACATATTCTTACATATGTTATCCAATATATGTGGATGCTAAAAAAGGTAAACAAGCTAAATACGTTTGATAACAATTTGAGTAGAAGAAATTAAAAAGTAAATTAAAAAAAAAAAAGAGTCCGATGTACAAGATATTTTGTATTTACGCAAGATCCGAAAAAAGCATTATACCTTAAGGGATATGATGTAGATCGCCTACCATAATGCAATCATTAGAGACCACTTTCACGGTTCGGACTCGTACCGTATAAATCACGCGGAGACAACTTTATTATTGCTTCAAGATTCCCGTTCTAATATAGAAGAAGATAATTGTAAAAAAAAAAATTAAAAAAAAAAATTATATGTTTTCATTTTTAGTTTTTCTACGTTAACTTTTATTATTTTCCATAAAAAGATCATATGACTAACAATCATGACACAAATTCAAATGTGTTCACACTTTTAGGATTTCTACATATAGTGTCAAATATTTAAGAACCTTCTAAAATGAAAATAGAGTTATATATATAATTAAAAAATAGAATAATAAATTAGAAAGTAGCATTATTGAGTTGCTTAAAGAGTAGAATATCACAGAAAACTTATTCGATCCTATCAGAAAATATTATTAAAATAATAAGGCCATTTCTAATACTAATTTTTTCGGATCTGGATACGTGAGCGTTAGGATATGATAGATTTTGATTAAAATTTAAGTGATGATAAGAAATAAATAATAAAATAAAATGTTCGTAATGGGTTCTCAGCAAAAGTACGTACGACATAGGACACAAGAGTCAAAGGGTTGGCATCGTTTGTCTGCTTTTGAACGAGATTGACGCTCGCCGTATTCCCTTAATAAATTCACTCCGTTTAAATTCTTTTCATATTTGAAAACTATTTATCTCTATGTAATAATTTATAGTCACATAAATTATATATACTTCGTTTCAGACCAGTCAAATTGTTTACATAAATTAAAAGGGAAAGAATATTATTTAAGTGGTTGGGAATTATGTGTCGGGTTTAAAATCTAACGGAGATAGAATATTAAATAATTTATTTTTATTTGTTTGAATTTTGATGATAGAGTTTTTTGATATATGTGAAGATAATATTCCGTAAAATTAACCAAGATACACATTACCTGATCCTAAACACCAGAATTATTGAACAAAAGTTATTCATGACCTTTCAATTATTTTTTCCCTTTAGTTTCTTTTTTCCTTATGGACTAAGGGTGGTATGTGGGCCGGTCCCGGGCCTAAGTGGGCCGGTCCTCACGGTCCCGGGCCGGTCCCAATTTAAACGGGCCTCGCAGTTTCGGTCCTAGTAGGCTTTTTGTAGGAATCGGCCCGGGACCAGACCCACGAACTAATAGTCCCGAGCTTAGTGGGTCGGTCCCGGGCCTTAGTGGGCCTAAGTGGGCTCAACGGATAATTTTTTTTTTTAATTTAAATTTTATAGAAGTTAGAGAAAAAAAAAGATGGTAATAAAAATACCTAAGGCAATTTTTTATAAATTATATTATAGAATTGTGACCTAAATTTTTTAATTCAAATTTAAAGACAAAAATATTGTAAAGAGATATTCAAAGCAATGTGTTATAATTTTATTATAGCATTAAAAAATATGGCAATATCTTTCTTAGTCTTCCTCCCCCCTATCGAATGAGCACAATAAAGTGCTAATACCACAATTGAGAAGAAAAAGAAACTAATCAAGATGTGCCAAAATACAAGTTATATAATACATACTAATATTTGTCCATACAAGTTACATAGTATCTCTTACAAACTTCATAAATCCATTAAGGTCCGGAGGAATTTCCGTTGGTGGTGGCGAAAATGAAGCTTGGTCAACACCGCTTCCGGGCGAAGCAGAATCCTCCGCTAGTTCAGCTAGCATTTCTTCGCAAGCTTCGTCAACATCTGGTTGTGATTCAACAAGTCCAAAATTTCTTCATTTCGAACGGATCCAATCTCTGAAAAGTACTGATTTTTCCAAGTTCTCCCTCATAGACGCTCTATAATCACCGTGTGACGACCCGACCCGTCGTCACGTGAGTTACCGCCCCGTTTTCCCCATGTTATGCTTCTTTAAG